ATAAAAACAAAGTTTAAATGTACTTGTACTCACATAAAAAAATTAAATTGAACGATTAAGGAAGGGTGCAGAAAAAAAAATGACTAAAATATGTATGGCTCAACTAATGTGAAGGAGTGAACCATCCCAAAAAAGAAGCGGGGAAGGTAACTTACAAGATTAGTCGTCTTGCCCAAGATTTAGAAAAACGAAAGGCGAAAATTATAGATCAGCTGCAGCCCACCAAAAAAAATATGACCCATTAAATGACTGATGCCAGTGCCTTTTATATAAATGTGATTCTATTTATTATAAGTTATAATTTATTACAGAATTTAATATTTTTTTTGTTATTTATGTATTTTATAACAGTTATGGTTACTTGTTAAATTTAATTCAATAAAAATTTATAATTTCAAGTTATCTCTATGTATTTTAAATTCAAATTTAGATCTTTTATCCCAAAAAAATGTATACCTCCATTTTATAGTTATTTCGGTAATTAATTTGGTCTATATTTGGTCGTTTATTTTTTATTATTAGTCTCTTAAGTCACTATTTCTCGCAACATGGACTGCTGGGAGCCCTGAAGAAGGTGGAAATAAAAAAATCGCTGTGTCTAGTCTCACGCTAGCGTGAACGCAATTTTATTCTTATTCTCACGCTAAAGTCAAAATAATTTTAATTTTATTCTCACGCATTATTTTATTTAATTTTACTTTTTAGGTGTCGTGTCATTTGATTTGATTATTATTTGATTATGTCATTTGATTTGATTATGCAAATGTAATAAAATTTACTACCTAATAATAAAATCGAGACTCTTTTACTGTAGCCAAACCAACCCAAACTCAACAACACAACCCAACCGACCCCGCCCCATTGCCCCCCCCCGCCCCATTGAGCAAAAAACCCAACTAAAATGGGCAAATTTATGTTACGATAAAAATAAAACACTTTAACAAAGGAACAACAAATTTATGAAATAAAAAAAGTTCGACAACTTCTGGTAGATTTTATGTTACGATAAAACTAAAACAAATTAACCAACCCAACCCAACCGAACACTGTTTAACAAAGAAACAACAAATTTATGAAATAAAAAAATAAAAAAAGTTCGTGGAATCGAACCCGGGACCTCTCGCATGCCAAGCGCCCGCCCTACCATCGGAGCCATCTAGCGTGTTGTCAAATATTAAATGCTCTGAGAACAAACACGGATTATAATTAGTGACGTCATCGCGTGAGAATAAGAATAAAATTGCGTTCACGCTAGCGTGAGACTAGACACAGTGTAAAAAAATATTAAGGTGTCAAAAGATACAATAACTTATTTTAAATATACAAAGGTTAAAAAAAACATACGAAATCCTAACCTCCGTGAAGATATCTTCCGTGAATATTCAAAATGTATGATTTCTTAAAATTCTTGCATTAGTGCAGAACCACTCATGTTATGTTATTACTAGACCTGGTGGCTTCCCAAAAACCCCATTCTAGACTAACAGTGAAACAACCAAAAAGAAAAAATAATCATTTTCACTTGGGGGACATAAAATTTGATCTGGTTTTAGACATTTACCGTTCTTCAACATCTTTTAAAAGGTTTCTATTTTAATATAAAGGAAAGTCATTTGAAACAATTGTAACGCTAATAATTATTTCTAATTTGCTATTAATTTAACCTATGATAATAACACCCTGCGCCGTAGACAACGCATAGCGGAAAGGTGCGGGCAGAAACATTTTGTATGAGTTAACGGCCTCGTTGGAACAGGAGGGTATTCAGGAAAATTTTAATTTAATAAATCGAAGAATAAACAATTTAATAAAAATATTATTTATTTATTTAATTTGATGCCTCAATTTTTATAACATGAGGGTAATATATTTTTTGCTTACGCATGTCGAAGCCAATCGCCCCCCCCTATCCGGGGGCCCCGTATCATTGATACGGCTGATACCACGGAAGCTACGCCCCTGATCCCCATCCAAATAAACGCAGAAAATCCTGTAGACGAATATAGTTTCGACAGCAAAGAAAATTTAAGTATTTTCTTTAAAAAATTGAACTTTATTTATTTTGCGTACTTCATCAAATTATTTTTTCTTCTTCCCTTAAAATTTTGGCGTATTAGTTTTTAAAATCGGTTGGTTTGCACAAATTATTACTTTAATTAAGTGTGGTTTAAAAGTACGTAATTTTATAAAATGATTCTTGTGAATATATAATGGTGTATAATTAATAAATTAAAAAATTAAGTTTTTCTCAAATAACGTACCAACCCATTTTAAAACTAATACGGGTATTGTGCAATTTTAAGGGCATTTTAAATCCCTTTATTTTGACGTAATAGTTTTTAATCGGTTTGTTTGTTTTCAAGATATTACAGAAAATTTTTCTTTTTTAATTTATTTTTGTCTTAAATATCTCAGGAACAAACTAACCGATTTTAAAAACTAATACGCCAAAATGTAGAGATTTAAAATGCCTTTAAAATGACGTATCACTCATTTTTAATTTAAAGTATAGAAGAAAACCGGGGTGGAAACTTTTTGGTTAATTTAATTTGGAAAATATCAAAAAATTTTCATTTTCATTAATCAGCATTCAAATTGGAGTATTTTAGTATTTTTATTTAGTAGTTCTGAGATACAGGGTATTAAAATTATACAGTAACCGTACAGTATTAAAAAAATATAAATTTTAAAATACAAGTTTAAAATTTGGTATGCTGTAGGTTATATCTAAAGCAAATAATGTTTTATTTAATTTTAATTATTATACAGGGCGTATAAAACGCTGCTAGTTAAATTTAATAATAAAAACACATGTAAATATTCAATTAATCAAATTTGGCAATATGTATTGATTATAATTCAACAATAAGAAAGCTAATGATAATAATAATAGTAATGATAATAAAGATAATAATGCTAATAATGATAATAATCATAATAAATAAATAAACGAAAATGAAAATTGATATTAAAAATATTTACCATTAAAATGATCAACTACATGTTCCACAGACAGTGTAAGGTTCTTTATAATCTTGAGATATTTCGCAAATCTTTTTATTAACTTAATATTTATATTTTGTATAATACAATAAATATTACTATACGTAAATCACATCCATACAACCATATTAAAAATTACGATCTACTAATATTTTTACAGTAATATTTACCAAAAATGTATACTAAAAAAATAATATATTGTGTTAAATATTTAACATTTCAATTTTACTGACGAATATTTAAAAGTATAACCCTCAAAATTTGATAAAGTAGATTTTACTTCTTTTTTACTATCTAGATAGCTGAAGCTTACTTATCTCCGTTCAGGAGGGAAAGTGTGATTTTGGACCAAATGGCAAAGAGTATATCGGGACTGTATCAGAGCTGTGAAATACATATTCAATATTTATATGCCAAACGGCGTTGCCAAATTTAGGGTTTGAAGACGTAGTTTAACTATGCCAAATATATACAGCTAGCTGAGCCCGACCGAGGCGCCCTCGAACTGGCTGAACCGTGAACTAAATCTGTATATTTCATCATGTTTCACCGCCTTTTCAAGCCCACCTAAAAATTTACCCCCTGCACCCACCAACCCCCCTGATTTCCATACTATGATTAACTTTTTCAGTCCCGAAGCCGGGTCTGAAAACGTCTGTATAGGCGGCGAAGTATGACGATTTGGGTCTGTATGTGCGGTCAAACAAATCTATATATATATATTTAATTTTTGCAAAAAGAAATTAAGACAAAAAACCGAAAATAACCTAAAAAATCGTTTTAAATTTAAAAGGTTCGGGTTCGGTATCTAGAGTTACATTTAAAAATAATATGGGTTCGGTTTCTGTCCAAAAACGGTCCGGTCCGGGTCCCTGGTTCTCTTTATAGGTGGGTTTATAGATTACTTATTTGGACGTACAGCGCGCTCTCTTGTTAATATTTCATTCTACTAAATTACAGGTTTTTGTGTATCCCCCAATTGGGTCATATGAATTGGGTATAGTGTCACTGTGTCAGTGCCAATTCGCAGTGTGAGGTTAGGTTATTTATAAATCTAGTTAGTTTGTCCTCATAAGCCGTTTTTGTGTTTTGGCTGCTTTAAAACCATTTACAATCCTATTAGGGTAATAATAAATTTAAAAAATTATAATAATCAATTTAATATTTGGCTTGTTTTTTATTTTCATTGCCTTTCTATTTGGGAGGATGCTACTAGTAAACTGCCAAGTAAAGAAGTGATGTGCACCCAATTGGGTAGACATGTTTGAAAATCCCAAAAACTTGCCACCTTCATAAGAAACATTATGTTTCTGTAAAATATTTCTACAATAAGTAATAGCTAAGTCATAGCTCTGGCTGTCTCAAGGAGTTTGTTTAATTTTACCCTGGCACCAGGGTGAAGTACATGTGTCTACCCAATTGGGTGGACATGGCAGTCAAAGTTTTAATTAGTGTGTGAGATTTTATCAAAACTAACTTAATTTAATTAAGTTATTTTTGTAAAAGTTGTAAAACACATCTTTAAACTTTAAAGCTTTACCTTTTTTAATATTACTGAAATTGTAATACAGCTAAAATAGCTAAAATTTAGTTTAGGGTTTACAATAAAAAATATTTGAATGAGGTCATTTTAAAAAGCATACTTTTTTACTTCAATTTCCATCCAAATTCGACTACATTTGAAGAAGTTATAGACGTTTTAGTATTTTTTTAAATAGTTACAAAAATGGCGAATTCGCCGGGATATTACACTGTCACGTTAAAATTGCTGTAACTCAGCTAAAAGTGGATTTATGGAAACTGTTAATATTTTTAAAAGCTAATTAGAATATTTTTGTAATGTTTAACAAAATTAAGGTATTTTTGTAAAAGTTAAAGCTTTGAAATTTACAAATTTTCAAGTGAGTTTGTAAGAAACATCTTAAAATTTAAATATTGTGATTTTCAAGAATAAACAATTGAAATATGCTATTTTATGAAATAATATTTTCTCTTACATTCTGGCCTGTCTTATGGCAAAATTCTGCTGACAATCCCTGCATTCAGTCAACCAAGAAATGACAACCAAAGTGATGGCATACACAGACAATATCCCAACATATATGAGAAATTGTATAAAATATTTTTGATTTCTCTCCCCGACACAGTTATTTATCCATGGACAATGATGGTCCATACGTTTTATGCATCTCTGACAAATTCTACAGTGATGTGCTCGAGGCGGTCTCAATGTATCACATCTATTGCAAATTGTCCAATCACACCCTAGTAAATCTTTAATTAACGTTAAGATTAAGCATGGGAAATATTTTATACCTGAATGTATGTCTTCATGACTCAAATGTTCCTTCTCAATGGGTACAGTCCCCGGATCAGTAACAACAGCCTTAATATGGGACATGGTAAGAAGAAAAACTATGGTGTTGAACATTACGACGTTAAAGGCGCCCCACAAACTGAAAACCAGACAAAATTCAGCAAAATTTCCCCTAAAATGCACCTAATTACCTGTCGACCATAGTCTGTAGGATAATCCATTTTATTACCACATAATCAGCGTAAAACACGGCCGAGTAGGTCACTAAAACGCAAACTATACCGCAGGGGTCCCTAACAAACATTTTTTTGGCTATAAACAAGCTCAAACACGTATAATTCCACACAAACGCATATTTATTTACAATATTTGACACAACCGTATCGCTCTGTCAGAGCGGCTCTGACAGACGTGACAGTTCTTCTGTCAAAAGATTAAGGTGCATTCGCACGATTCCGTTAAGGCGTCTTCATACAGCCAGGTATTCAAATTTCAGTCAATTTTGACAATGTGACAAAAATACAGTATGATAAGGTCCGCAGCAGATTTTCCGCTTATGAGACAACAAACTGTAAGATTTGTGTGAAGATAACGCGTTGTATTAATATTAATAGGGTGATTTTTGCAGGCCGATTTGCCTGAAAGATACGTGAAACATTTAAAATTAAAAGATTCTAACGAGTTGTATAATTTGTACTATTTTAAAGAAGAGATTGGGCAGGGGGCTTTCGGGAGAGTTGTGGAAGTGACAGAGAGAAGTACGAATAAAGTTTACGCCTGTAAAATCGTTCAAAAGTCAAAAGTATGCAAAATATGTGAGAATCTTGAATTAATGCAATTATAAAGTTTTAAGGTGGAAAGATGGAAAGAGTTACAAAACGAAATAAAGATTTTAAAGTTCGTAAATCATCCTCACATAATTTTTTTGGATAGTATTTACGAAACACCCAAAAAAATTTACATGGTGATTGAGAAATGTGAAATGACTCTGGAAAAAGTCTACAAAGACAGGGCGCCATTATCAGAAAAGCCAATAAAAATTATAATTTACGACTTAGCACATGCTGTAAATTATTTGCACACCAATAGTAATAAATATACATATTTAAAAGAGGGGGGGTTAATATGGAACATATCGGAACATAATAAACCATATCATGGTTTGTTCAGTGTAATATAACAATATTTTCCTACATTCCATATTACCACCTTTTTCTCAAATTGTTATTTTAATTATTATATAGTAAGCGTAATTTTTAAGATATTGTTCATAGAGACATAAAACAAGAAAATATTCTCATGGCAAAAAACGAACAAGACCCAAAGGACGAAAATTTCATAAAACTATCAGATTTCGGTCTGAGCATCATAAAAACGGGGCGAGGACTTCAAAATATGATGCAGGACTTTTGCGGAACCACTGGCTACATGTGTAAGTGACAAATTATTTCAAAAATCGACCCAAAATGCATTTTTTCTTCCATTTAAATTCGTTTACAAAAATCTAGATGGCATCACAATCCACAAATTGTGGATTGTGGATGGCATGTTTGTTTGATGGCATGTTTGTTTGACGTGAGATTGTCGATAACTGACAATTGGACTGTCAAAATTTAAAACTAAACTAAGTAACCTTAGTTATTTACGATATAAGTGGGATAAGAGCTTTATTAACGTACGCATGCGAAATTTGCCCAACGAGTGCGTAGCACGAGTTGGGCAATCGCAAAAGTACGTTAATAAAGCGTTATCACACGTACCTATATTGTACAAATTTTTATCTACGCCTCCAAATGAAAAAATAAACGGTAATTATTTTTGTCTAAGACTTAATTTAGGGTTATTTTGACATTTTGACTTTTTTATTTGATTGGTTAAAAGCAGAGAAAAACGCGTGCGTTAATGAACTTCTTACCTCACTCAAAATGAGTGAAATAAGAAGTTCTTATCTCACTGGCGTAGATAATAGTTATTTACGATATAAGTGGGATAAGCGCTTTATTAACGTACGCATGCGAAATTTGCCCAACGAGTGCGTAGCACGAGTTGGGCAATCGCCAAAGTACGTTAATAAAGCGTTATCACACGTATATTGTACTAGTATATTAAAGAACTAATGTCATAAGACGTCATTTTGTCGCACGCGGACAATTTATAAAACGAGCGACGAAGGAGCGAGTTTTATAATGGACAAGTGCGACAAAAGGTCTTATGACATGAGTTCTTTATGCTAGTTTATCTATTTTGCAAACATTTCATAAAACAAATTAATTTTATACCTTATATTTAATTTGGTTAAATTTTACTTTACATAGTTGGTATCATAGATAACAAAGTTTGAAGTTTGAAAGGTCATTAACCTTTCAAACATTATCACATTCTTTCGCTATGGCGTCGTTAATTTACAATAAGTATTTACAATAAGCGGCTGTTAAAGAAGAAAAAAGGATTTTCTTTGGTGTTAAACAAAATTTATTACACGAAAAGTCTCGTAAGTACTAGAAAACAAATCATAAAAATATTATAACCTATAGGTATTCAAAATGGTATTTTACCAGTAGCCAACCTATAAAATCAAAATTTTGGGTGGAATAAAGTACCTCATTAAAGAACCAAAAGCGGTGTTATAATGAAGTCATTATGAAACCAAAATAGATAAAAATTTTTATCTACGCCTCTAAATGAAAAAATAAACGGTAATTATTTTTGTCTAAGACTTAATTTAAGGTTATTTTGACATTTTGACTTTTTTATTTGATTGGTTAAAAGCAGAGAAAAACGCGTGCGTTAATGAACTTCTTATCTCACTCAAAATGAGTGGGATAAGAAGTTCTTATCTCACTGGCGTAGATAAAATTTATTTTGTAAACTAGCCCCAGAAATCTTGGAACAGAAGGCTTACAGCGAACTGTGCGACGTTTGGGCCATCGGAATCATTTTTTACCAACTTCTCTTTGGTCAACGGCCATTTAGAGGGGCCAACGATATTGATATTAAAGAGAAAATAATAAATGATGAGCCGTTCTACGAATCAGACAGGATTCAAGTGAACGGTGATGCGATTCATTTGTTGAAAGCAATGCTGACGAAAAGTCCCACCAATAGAATCACGACTGCGCTTATTTTGGACCATCCGTATCTGTCGAAAAAATTATCGAAGCAGTCCAAGACGACGTTGCCAGATTACAATGTTTTGAATACGATGAGTCAATGGAAGGACGAAATGAAAGTCGAGGTATACAATATACTAAGGAATAAAGTTGCTTTTTTAAATTGTTAAATTGTTTATTTTGTTTAGACTACAAATAGAAAATCGGCTCAGGACTGGGATAACAATTTGTTTCAATTTCAGAGATTTGATTAGAAGTTTTCTATTCAATAAATGTTTTAGACTGAAAAGATACCAAACCTGTTGTATATTTTATGTTTTTTAATAAATTTCATATATATTTTTTTAATTTGAAATGACACAGTTGGGGGTTTCCATTAATAAAAAAACCGTTTTCAATTAAAAATGTAACATAATTTCAATAACCAACAGTTTAATAATTATTTTCAAATTCATTTAGATTTCGCAGTCAAGGCTTGACTGTCAAGCAGTTTTGAAGTCACTATAGGTAGGTAGTCCGTTTTTAGATTGAAAGCAATGTAAACTAGAAACCACCAATATATGAACGTGACTCATCCGACACATTCGTACGAAGCAATCTATCGAAGGTCACGGTCCAGTGTAGTCCCGTTTGTAAAAAAAATTGAGTGTAATGTTGGTTGCTATACTTATGATATATTTGCTTTTAAAGTTAAATAATTAACATCTAACATAATTAACATCTACGATAATTAAATAAAATGTAATTTTCTTAGAAACTAATTAATAAATAAACTTTTCTTTTAACTTTAATGAAATATTCTATCATCTGATTACAGAACGTACACTCGTGGCGACATCTCTGATTTTAATAACAAATTTTTAGACCGACCCAACCTCACTTTCTTCCAATTAAATTCTTAGTATAGTCTGAAACACGTTTAGAATTGCATATTCCCCTCTCGTGAAACCGTCAAACTTGTTACAGAATATACTATTCTTTTAACTGTAAACGCAAATATTTCAGAATTGGTGACAAAAAACAAAAATGTTTACGCAGGTCAGGTACAAAGTGAAAGATATTTAAATTGTGTGGATATAAAAACAACTTGCGTTAGTTTCACGAAATTTATTAAATATTGACAATTGTTTCGCTACACAGTAGCTTCTTCAGAATGTATTAAACTAATACTAGTACAAAATTTATATGTATAATAAAAATATTTTTGTATTCTAGCCTAGAATTTCTAGGTAAGGATTTTTATACGACATCTACCTGTGTTACATAATATAAACCACTGCCACTACAACGTTTAAAACGATTATTAATCCGTAAACACACAGTAGAAACAAGATATGCAAAAACAAAGATCATATGACATATAAAAACAAATGGTCGACGGTAAAGTTGGTTGCCTTACTATGTAATAAAATAAATAAATTCCTAAAACACGAACTCTACTGACTTCCAATAAAATTAAGTAACAAGCTAGGACACAAGCGTCATATGTCCATCTTTGTCCAACACCTAGGCAGTTTTACATCACAGATGGCGCATTTTAGACCGGATGCTTAAAAACCTACGTGTGAGTACATTTACCGCTGCATCGAATGTACAAGACAAGTAAAACATTACTGCTAGCATGTCTGAGATATGTTCGGCACCCGATGAGTCACGTTCATATATTGACGGTTTCTTTTTTTGTAAGTTGTCGCGGCGAATGTTTCAAATTGCGTCATCAAATTCGGAACCAAGCACAGCCGGGTCTACAATTGTCGCAGGTCGCAGAACATAAGCTTGCGCAAAGCACCTAGCTGACAAAAACAGAACCATCCAAAATATAAATTATAACCCTTTTTACATTTTTGAATCATTAAACCACGTTGAAAATGGAAAAAAAACATAGAATTGACTAGAACTTCCATTTTGACCTCGAATAACTTTTGAACCAGTTAAGTTAGCAAAAAATCACAAGAAACCTTTTTTGTAGAGCGTTAAATTTATTATAAGAATATTTATCCTTCTATATAATCCGTTTATTAGTTCATGACTTAAAAAAATCCAAAGTAATAACAGAACTTTTCCCATGTTATTTCCATTTAAAACTTTTGCTGTCGGGGGGGCCGGCTTAATTTTAAAATTAAGAGCTGCAATTTGGCACATTATTTTTTTTATATGTTTGGAACCTATTTAGGACTATCGTGAAGAAAAATTCGAACACACCCTAAATAAGGACCACCCTAATATATATATATATATATAAATATATATATATATATATATATATATATGTATATATATAAATATATTATAATATAAATATATATATATATATAAATATATATATATATATAAATATAAATAAATAAATATTTATTCAGTTACCCTACCCATCATCACTCAAAATCCTACATAAATGTTGTTTCTATTACACCAAAATAAGATGGAACCTAATTATATCTTACTATGGATGAATATAGAATATAATTTCGATTTTGACTTCTCAAAATTCACTATTTTTTCAAAAAAAAAAAAAACGGCGTCATCAGGCATTTATAAGATGTCTTTAGAACAATAAATGAAGATAATTTTAAGACGTCTATCAAAAGACGTCTTTCAGAAGTCTTTTTTAGATCTTCAGACGTTCAGGCATAATACAGACATACAAAAGGCATCTTCAAGACTTTGTGTGCTATCTGGTATTATAACAAAAAACAATCGGAAAATATATTTTGGGGAGTTCGTCACATGACACTTTAAATCGTCACATTATGTCGAGGGGGTCAAATTTTAGCGTCACGCGATTTATGGACGGCCACTAATTTTAGATCCGACCACATTCAGAATGTTTTAATGCCATCTCCCAGCTGACAGTGACACGTCTTATCGACCGTCGATAATCGACGTGTCATTTTGGTGATTGTACGTCTGCGACGTCATGGACGTAATATCGACGTTAGTATTCTGTCATTTAGTTGACCAATTGTTGAGGTCATTTTTGTTCCATACATTTCACGTAATATCGACGTTACCCAGCAAACAGAGCTGTAAACAACTCGTGTTATTCACGTCGCATTTTGGTTGTTGTTTAACGACGTTATTATTCCGTCATTTAGTTAACCACTTTTTGACGTACCTACTCTTTTTCATACATTCTACGTGATATTGACGTAATCTAGATTGACGTTTTTTTAATCACGTAGGTACAGTGTGTGTAATTTTACGTATTTTTAATGACCGGTTTTGGTTTTAAAATTATTATTTTAAAATTATTATTTTAAAATTATCATTTCATAAATGAAATTATATGGTTATTATTCCGTCATTGAATTGACCAATTGTTTACGTCATTTATGATCCATACATTCTACGTAATAACGACGTTAGTATTCAGTCATTTAGTTGACTAATTATTGACGTCATTTTTACCCCTTATAAGGGGTATATCACGTAGAATGTATACATTCTACGTGATATTAACGTATTCTAGATTGACGTTTATTAAATCACGTAGTGTACGTAATTTTACGTATTTTTAATGCCCGTTTTCGATTTTAAAATTAATTTATTATTCCGTAAATGAAAATATATACCCTGCTTAAAATACCCTATAGAGACCCTGTTCAAACCGATAGATATTTGTATCGGAATGTATGGTGTTTCTATAGGGTGTATCGGTATGTCCCAGGCTACACAGTGACGTGAATATCACGTTTAATTTACGTCTACGGTGACTTCGAAGTCACCAACTTAGACACGTCTTATCGTCGTAAAATTGACGACAATATGTCACAGCGATTTCACGTGTAAAATCACGTGATATTACGTAATTATTTACGTAATTTGACGTAAATAATCACGTAATATTTCTTGAATAATATATGATTAGGTCATACACCGATCAAAATAATTACCGATACTGATATCAGATATTTCAATGCGAAATGTGATTTTGTCAAAATTAAAAAAACAAAAAAATTTTAGTTGTAGGTACTTTTAAATTTTAAGAAATACATAGGTAAACCCTACTATATATAGTATATATATACTACTATAGTAGATATATATTTAGTAAATACAAACAAAAATTGACCTACCTGACACAGCCAAAGTATTATCATTATCAGATTATAAAAGTTGGACGCTTGAATCAACCATATTGTTTTTTAGGAATAAACGTTCCCTCGCTTTGTAAGTAGCATTGAGTAAAGTGTATGTAAGTAGTGTCAAAGAGAAACAGGGTTGCCAGACGTAAAAATTAATATTATCGAAGAAGGGTTGACAAAATGATCAAATTTACAGAAAATTATATAAAATTATCAAAACAAAAATTGTATAAAAACAAGCAAATCTACGCGGCGGATTAAATTATGTTACAATTATCGATTATTATTTAAATTTTACTATTTTAAAAAAGAAAATTATAAAACATCTGGCAACACTGTAGATAAATAATTTTACTAAAATTAAAATTGTGATTGTCAACTGCAGTAACATGTTAATTTCTTATTTTGTGATGAAATGATAAAGGATTTAAAAATCGCGAATTTGTTTTAAAAAATCCATTGATCAATAATTATTAATCTAGAACTAGATTTAAAACCAAATAATGTTTAAAATTATTTTAATAAAATATTGCACGTTGATTCTCCGTCGAAATAACGTAAATTAAATAAAAATAATAATTTTTGTTTTTAAAAATATTCCAAAACTTTTTGTCGGCCCATTAAAACGGGCCAACTGTTTCTTATTAATTATCACTATATTTTCATATTTTCTTAAAAATTTCGTCATCTGTTCACGTGATAATGACGTCATTTATTGGTTATCATCGACCTAAGTTAATAATTGGTCGTGTTTTGGTGAATTTTGAGACGTCGAAAAATGGTTGAAATGTAACTTCGACCAAATTCGACCCAATTCGTCGACGATTCTACGTGATTTCTACGACCCTGTGTTGCCTGGGGTATAGGATCCATAGTTGCGATTTATGGTTGTTCTATACTATAGAATCTATAGGGATATCCACCCTTGATTTATTTGCTATTGGTTTCAATGGGGAAAATACACATAAATGTAGAAATTAATTTTTCCCCATAGGACCCCATAGGTTTTAATAAAATTTTGTCAAATGTTTTATGGTATCTCTATAGGGATATCCCTATAGGTATATCCTTCATTGAGTTATTTTCTATCGGTCCTAATAGGGAAAATGTAAAAGTTATGGTGTGCCTATAGGTAATTTCCTATACATTTTCTATCGGGCCATATCCGGAAAAAACCATGGACAAATGCACATATTGAATCCGGTAGCGCCCGATAGATTATTTTCTATCCCCATATATATATGGGGTATTTTAAGCAGGGTTGTTATAATAATATATTATTCCGTCATTTAATTAACCAAATGTTGACGTCATTTTGTTCAATACATTCTACGTAATATCGACGTTAGTATTCCGTCATTTAGTTAACCACTTGTTGACGTCCTTTTTTTCATACATTCTACGTGATATTAACGTTATATAGATTGACTTTTATTAAATCACGTACAGTGAACGTAATTTTTCGTATTTTTAATGACCGGTTTCGGTTTTAAAATTAATTTATTATTCCATAAATGAAAATATATGGTTATTATTCCGTCATTAAATTGACCAATTGTTGACGTCATTTTTCTTCCATACATTCCACGTAATATCGACGTTACCCAGCAAACAGAGCTGTAACCAACTCGTGTTATTCACGTCGCAATTTGGTTGTTATTTAACGAGTTTTAAAGTAACGGAATATTGACGTGAAATAAACATTTTGAAAAAACGAATGTTTTAACAAAAATGAAATTTCTATATTTGTTAAAAATATAACATAAACATAAAAAAAACTTCCCATGCAGTTCTTTCAGTGGAAATCAAGAAGGTACTTAAGTAATTACCACAGGAATTCTAAGAAGTTTTAAAAATACGTTTGATACACGTAAAATTTAGACGAAATATGTACCTAAGTACCCAGCAAACAGAAAATGACGAACGACGTTTAAGACGTAAAAATAGCCGTCAAAATAAAACGTAAAAATGACGTATATTTCTCGCCATTATCTGACCACTTATTTCATACCAGAATCAGACGAATATGCGACGTCATTAAAATGTTTCAAAATTCACCAATATGTAGGCAACCCATGCATACCTCTCGAGATCGCCTCTGTAGCACAATAGATAGTCCTATAAAGGTGGAATACCTTAAGCTGCCAAGTAAGAATTTCTTACTAAGGCAAAATTACTGACCATACCGCTTCTGCTTGTAAGTTTTGAAGGGACACAGCTGGTCCTGTGGCCCACTCTGCGAAAAGTAAGCAGTGGGCCCCACTACTTACTTTTAGCAAAAGTTTTTATAAAATGTAACATTTAATGTTAAACAGCACTATTTTTGAGAAATTATTCAACAACCAAAACACGTCAATTTTGTACCTTAAAGACGTATTAAAGATGTCTTTATAAAGACATCTTTAATACGTCTTATAAGAATCGTCTTAACCACGTTAAGGGGGACGTTTCTTTTACGTCTAACTAACACGTTTTAATTACATACAAAGTAACGTCACTGGTACGTACAAAGTAACGTCACTGGTACGTACAAATTAACGTCACTGATACGTACAAAGTAACGTCACTGGTACATACAAAGTAACGTCATTATACGTTAACTGGATATGTCAAAAAGACGTACCAAAATGACGTCGGGGCTGTGACATTTTACCGACGCCCAAACGTCAATAATACGTCATGGTACATGGTGAATATGACGAATCGGGTGCCGAAAAAATGACGTTTAAATGACGTGGTACTGTCAGCTGGGCTGTTAAACACAAAAGTGTATTTTTATACAACGCGAACTAAATGTAAACACACCCCCAGAATCGACCAATAAGAACCGTGCTGTCCACCTGGAAACGAGTTATCACGAGGCATTTTTGTTTGGTTCGGCTAGGATTTGAATACACTTTAGTTACTAATTTCCTGGGTCTCAAAAAATTACTAAAGAATATTTTATTAAATAACTTTGTTTCAAGGCCATTTTCAAAAAATGTCTTAGACTAGAATAGATAAAATAAAACAATTAATTTTAAATGTTACTTTTATTTAAAAAAATATATATACACTCGTTCACTCTTAAATACAAAAACATTAATGTAAAGGTAATAAAAAATAAATAATACTTTTTGTACACTTGTAGTCAGCAACACTAAACAAAACTTTGGTCTTAAAATATAATACAATCAAGCATCATAGTGATGCAAAGAAATTAACTAACACTCAACGCGGTGCTACTAAAATTTATGAACGTTGAAAAACATATTTAATAATAATATAAACATAAAAATTTGTTGTTAACGTATAAATTGTAGTCGCATCGTAAGTTAAACTGTAAATACATATTAATACACTAGAGACTAGATAACAAAACCAAAAGATCATCCAAAAAGTTGCGTGCGACGACGCTTTGATTTTTTTTTATTTAAGTCGGTTTTTAATCACAGAGACGGGTTTACATCGATAAGTAACCTAAAACCACCGTTAAAAAATCTGTGGCATACATTTTCTATTGAGATCATCAGAAAAAATTAAAATTTAATACTACCACTGGTAAAAACAGCTGGGGAGATCAACGTTTTAAAAAAGTGTGACTTTGGCTATAAAAATAACGCGAAATTGTCTTAAAATTCGTCAATAAAATTAATCCTTATAAAGTTAATAACAATTTTGGCAAGTTCTAACGATAACAAAAGACAAAGTAAAAAAATAAATGCTCAAAAGTAGATATCCTCGACCCTGGTCGGCGTGTCAGGACCGTACTGCGGGCTTTCGTAACCGGCCAGTTTGGGTTGTTGGGGGGGTGACGGGGCCACTTTTTGCACCTCCTTGTCGATCAGAACCACCAAAAGTTCCACCCTGGACGGAGGTAAACTTACCAAAGTGCAAATGTCCAATAATGCGATTTGGGCGGACGGTAATTTCAGGCCCCGCAGGGCCGAACTGATGCACGCCGCTGCTATGAGAGATGGCGGGGCACGGATCAAAGAGGGTTCTGCAAAAAAAGAAAAATTTTATTTACGGAATAACAACAGTACCTGAAGATTTTTGTTGTATGAATGAATGGTTATGAATGTCAGGTAGGTACCAATAGGTATATCGAGAGGTATAGAGATCAAGGCCGTTCACACGAATTTTCAAATGTAGGTGGCTGCAAAATTGCACACGTGCATTTTTCTCTTTATTCATGTATTATATGCATACGCTGAGAATTTGCTAAATAAACACACAACGAAAAATAAATCAGATCGTAGATACAATGCAACGCCAATTGCCTTACAAAGAAACAATTTTCTATTCAATTTTTTGTGACATGTTTATTTTAAAACTACAAAAATTGCGTTACGTAATACTTGAACGCTCCCTTACAGGGGATAAAACACTGATTACAACGAGTGTGAAGTTTGCTGCCCGAGCGAAGCATATTATTTTTCAAAGCAACTTTATTCAAAATTTGATCGCATAAAATATAAAATATTCAATCTGACAGATTAAAGCTGGGTTCCAACAAAGAAATAAAGTACCTAATATAATTAATTAATTTTATTTAATTTACTTGCGTTCATACAAAAAGTATCTTAATTTAATTTTACAGAAAAAGTGTTTAAATTAAAAACAATATATTAGACAGCACTTGCTGAGCTCAAACTAAAAGTTTTAGATACATGGCTTACCTTGGCAATTACAGTCGAAATATTTTATAAAACCGTTCGCTGAGACTAGAGGCACGCTAACGTGTCGCGATTTGAAATGTTAAAGGGACGTTAGCTACGTCATAATAATAATTCGTTTTTGTTCCCCGAGCTTTATAAAATTGACCTCTAGCTAGATAGCTTAGCATGAGAGAGGTACCGGGTTGATACTCGGAAGTTATCGAACTTTTTATTTTATATTTCATAAATTTGCTGTTTCTTTGTTAAAAAGTGTTGGGTTGGGTTGGTTGGTTTGTTTTAGTTTTATCGTAACATAAAATCTACTAGAAGTTGTCGAATTTTTTTATTTTTTAATTTCATAAATTTATTTCATAAATTTGTTGTTTCTTTTTAACAATTGTTAAAAAGTGTTAGGTTGGGTTGGTTTGTTTTAGTTTTATCGTAACCTAAAATCACTAGAAGTTGTCGAACTTTTTTATTTTTTTATTTCATAAATTTGTTGTTCCTTTGTTTAATAGTGTTGGGTTGGTTGGTTTGTTTTAGTTTTATCGTAACATACATCGTAAATGGCGGGTTTATACAACATCATATCATTAATTTATTTCAAAATTCACAATTTAGTGCATAAGCATAAAAGTTAAATCGTACCTACTCATTTAGTGTTTATTAAATAACCTTGAAAATTTAACTTTTATAACATAAATTATGAATTATAAATAAGATTGAACAGCGCATGTGCCAACAATTTCTCTCTCTCTATTTTTAAGGTTATAATTAATAATTATTTTGTTTGTGCCTTACAAAATACTACAAAGTTCCTCAAAAAATTGATAATTAATCCCATGTAACTTCAATAAAAGTAATACAAAATTTACAACATTTTCAGGGTTCGACCGATATACTGCCCTACTATGGAGAAAGGCAGTAACTGCTAAACAAGAAATTTGTGGAAAATTAGCATAAACTACATTTTTATAAAAAGCAGTAGGTATTTAGTTGATTTTTTTTTAACTTATGAGATATTTGACTGCATTTCTGTGTTGAATTCGGTTACAAAATGTCCATAGCTTTACCATAGCACAAGAAAACGCATTTTGCATTTTTTTGCAGTTACTGCCTTTCTCCATAGTGGGCAGTATATATCATGATATTTATCACGATATATATCGATATTTATAAGCGATGATATATATCAATGATATTTATAAAACTGTTACAATGAAATATTTAACAGCTTTTTTTTCAAAGGTGATCTATAGATTATATATAATAACATTTTAAAAAAGTATAAGTTTCTTTAATTCAGAGTCTTTATTTCCATTTTACGAATTTAATAAATATTTGTAGATTTTATTTACAGTTAATAATTTAAAAATGTGATTTATTTAAGTTTAAAATTTGTTTAATTCGTTCGTTTAATCCTGCGCATTGTCTAAAAGACGACCGTAGCGCTATGATGAGAAACCTTTAATTAATATTTTTTCAAATTAAAATGTAAATTTTTTTGTTAAGAATTTATTTTTTGTTTTATAATTGGTTTGTTTACTTTTTTAAATAAATTTATTAAGAACATTTTTATTCTGGCTAATATAATTAATTTTTGACCAAAATCTTAAAAGAAATAAATAAAAAATAAATATCAAGATGTATATCCGATATTTTGATATTTATATAAATATCATGATATTTTCGAACCCTGATACTAACATAACCTTACATTAATTCGAAATCGAAATAAAAAGTCGTATTTTTGACGGAATACCCTATATTATTGTTCCAGGACTTAAAACTTGTCATTATGGGGCGAGATGTGGGGTCAACTTTAAATGTCTGTAATTTCTACAAGAGTTGGATTTTTATTAAATTTTAAGGGTATACCTACCGACAAAAACATGCTAAATAACAGGGTATAACCACAAGTACTAAACAAGGTAAAATGACAACAACAAAAATGATAATATCCTGGTAGGTAAAATAATGATCTTTATAAATTCTAGACAAGCTAAATTAGGCTTTTTTAAAATTAACTTATTTTTTAAGTTAAGTGTAACGAAAGTGTGTCTGTTGCATTAATTTGAATGAATTAAGGAACCAAATGTCGAATTTTCGTTATCAACATAAGGTGGTACGAGGGCACGCGCGTTTTCCTTAAAACTTTTCAACGGCGTGCCGTCACACTCGGTTGCATTTTCTTACGACGACATATCGGTTTACGGTTTGAAGATGTCCCAATAATAATAAGGGCAACAGTTGGCCATGCCGGTAATAACCATCAACAAGGAAGACGTTGAGAAGCTCCTTTTTTCGAAAACGGGCGCTTCTTGTTATTCCAACATTTGTAAACGGTTAGATGCAGTTAAGTATGTTATTATAATATCAAAAACGAACTCCGGTCATTTACATTTTTTTAGCCCAGGTGCTTCGGCCGACCCCTATGTTTTTATTAATTCCTCGACTTTACTATTTTCTTCGGGTTCTTTGCCTCTAAGGTGAAGAAACTATACGACATATGCCATTGCCCTTCTTCTTCTAATAAAAACGCAAAGGGCAGGTGGCGGCCAAGTTACTTTTTACCCCGAAACCTGTTGAATCCTGCTCTCTCTCTCCGTTATCATTATTCCAGAACCATTGGCCTAATAGTTTTTTATTGTTACGGAGTGACCTCTCGTTAAAAAAATATTAATTTCAAATGACGCACCCCTTTTACTCGACATAAAAATTACGTTAGGATATTTTATGCAATTCATTATTGTAGAGAACAATCTTGAAATAGTTTTTTATTTCACAAAGCATACGGCATATTTTAACTTAATACTGTACTCTTTAAGCCAAGGCATGCCTTTAAATGATTTCTTTTTTTTTTTTGACAACTTTGTTCTGGATTTTAGACAAATGATTATTATAGACTTATATCGGTATTTTTGGTGGTTTTATTGAATTTAGTGGGGACACGCGTGAACAGTTTAGTAGAGGAAATAAACCGTGTATTTATGTCGCTTTTTGGTGTCACATTATCTATTCATGGGGTCAATTATTTTTAGTCCGGGCGACGCCCGGATCCAGATGCAATAATTCACGACCACCTGGTGATTATCGCTATTGCGTATTACACAAGAAATAAGATTTTTATATAACTTTAATAATAAATATGGAAGAAGGATGTCTGATGGATGGAAAGTTCATGTCATAGGGTAATTTCAGTAATTAGAAGGACGCGATATGGCAGGTGGTAGACATAAGGCAAAGGAAAAGGAGGCAGGTACCTACTTAAATACGTAGCGGTGTGCACCTTGCGCGAGATACCTATGCACGATTAAAAACAAAAAAAACGAAAACGTAAAAAATAACTCTTCGATTTCAACATCTGCCGCCAGCATCCAACAAGTGGTTGCTTTTTTATTTTCGGATTTGACCACTACCTACGCCATGTGCATGTTGTTTACCAACAAGACTTTTAAACGCAATTTCGGAAATAAACATCTATTCAAAAAAAATACAATAGGATTTTTACCTAGCAAGTCTTTAAGAATTTACGTCATAAAATGTTTTATTTGATTTAAAAACAGCTGCCCATTTTTTGTCACAATGTCTCTAAGAATATTTTACAAAACCCAGCGTTATTATTTCTATGTGCTATCTAAAACTAAGATCTAACGTAATCAAACAAACATATGCCTTTTTGTAGATCAGTATAAACTATAGGTAGTATAAATGCGTTTTTTTCGTTCACCTGCCGTATTAAATAAAAATTGAATTCACCCCACACACTATAGAAGAGTCAGTTGGTCAAATAAGGTTCACATTTTTATACTCTTTCTTTCCGTCATACACCTGTCTTTGGGTTACGTTGAAATACGTTTTCTTACGGATTTCCTTACCCCTTCATCGTCGCACACAACTCGATATCAATTACCATTATTAGTATTTTTTCTAGTCGTTTTTTTCTACGCGTTAAGTCTCCCCAACGTAATATTTTTCTTTGTAATCGTACGACCCTATTGTGCAAGTACGAGGGACAGTTTTACTTCTTTGAGTTCAAGGGATTGCAACCCCAGACAATAGGGTAGAGAAGACTTTTCCGTTACACATTTAAAAAAAATATGTGTTAAATTGACACTGCGTGTTGTAAAGATAGTAAAGTGAAGCATAACTAATCAATCCTTGATTTATGTGCAAAATATGAGCCAGGTAAAAACATCTTGTAGAAGTATGGGCGACCTTATTGCATTTCTATGAAGGGAGGCCTTAAAGATTCCGTCCTTTGTGCGTTTACGTCTCGGATAAATCCCTTATGCAAGCAACCCCGACGGCGGAGTAGTTGTTTTTATTATGATGCAACCACCTGGTGGTCACGAGCCGTCTGCCAAGAATATCTGGAGGAGGAGAATTCAGAGGACAATACCGTCTGAGATTTAAGAAAGGCTATTGTCCTTCCTATATGGCTGACTTCTTTCCCCACGATTATTGTTTCTTTAAGAATTTAACGATTTAGTGACAATGCCTCAGGTCGGGGCAGATAACGGGACATCTGTCCTGCACACGCGTTAAAAGGGACGATTTCTTACGTTTATTTCAAGATTAAGGTATACAATGCTAGTTTGTAATCTGGCAAAAAAAACGTACAGCTGGCTACTAAAAAATACCCTTTTTACGCTAAAATAAACATAACAGAAGTTTAAATTTGACATTATAAAATGATGGCAAGCTATGTTAAAATAAAAAGCTAAAGTAAGGACACGATAAAATCGTAGACAAGTTTAAATGCCACCAAATAGATTGTAAACTCCAAAACACAAAAATGCACAGCTGGTTACCAAAAAAGTGACCTTTTTATTATTTTTACGCTAGGTGGACACTAGTTGAATTCGTTTAGTCATTCCGCATTGTATTTAATTAGGCATTAAGAGTTATTTTTTCTAATGTAAGAATGCAGTTGGAATTATCACCTAATAGGTGTGTGTAGGGGTATTGTTTAAATAGGCACGTGGCTAAATTGGGTTGTCACAAAGGACATTTAAAAATTTAAAGTCCGCCGAGCGCGGTGTAACATGTGCATTCGCAATCGCACCTGGCGAAATCAAAAAATAAATAAAACAGATGCCCGGCTGCTGCTGCTAGCGTATACACGGATTAAACTGGTTTTCGGGTCCTAGGATAAAGTCCTGCTCTACTGCAGGCGTACAAAACAAGGCAGGACCGCTTTAAGGGTGTGGTGCGTGCCCTTCATAAAAGCAAACCTATCCAATGACTACTTATATTACTGCTATTTCTAGTTTCAGACGGGGTGGGTTTTTCAGCCCATTGTTTTTTACTTTTTTCACCTGGACTTTTTTAAATAAGTGGATCGAATCTAGTTCATAAAGCAAATGCTTTAGGAACTTACAAACCACGTGCTATAGGTATCCTCAAAGTTAAAGTTAATTTTTTCCTTATTTAAACTTTGATATTGTAAAATAACAACTCTCACATTTTTAAACTAAAGTAAACAAAAATATTGGATTTTATCTTTAAAACTGATGAAAAGATGAATTACATTTAACTTAAAAAAATTATAAGAAAAAGTTTTTTGTAATTAAAAAACAAATCTGAATAAAAAAATTACGACAGAAATTATAAGGTTGACTTTTCCTTGTTTTCTAGGTTATCCAGAGAAGATAAGAGGCATTTTTATTTTTGATTTTCAAAAAAATGTTTTGATTTTCAAAAACATTCACTTGGTAAAAATCGACTAAATATTATAATAATTCCGCTGTAACTTTTGAGTTTTTAATTACAACCACCTTTTCTAATAACATTTAAAAAAATCAAAATATAGAAATATAATTAAAACTTTTTATTAGAAATGAGTTTTCTTGGAAAATTTAAAAATATTTTTTTTCATACTATATATTTAACTCAGTTTCAGGGTAAACTCACTGAAAATGAATTAATATAATTTTAAAAAAGAGATCTTTTGTTAGTAAACCTTAATAATTTCATCAAAATTTCAACGTTTACATTTTTAGTCTAAATCTAATATACAAAAAAAGTGCTCTTTTAGTTCAACCCTTACTTCTTAAGAAGTCCCATAAGCCAACTGAATGGCTTGTGCGGGTTAGGGGTAGGAACGGACCGCGGGCTTAAAGTCCCCTCCGAATATGAAACAAATATTTTTGAAAAACCTTAAACAAAATGTCGAAATTACAACTTTTACTTTTTTAGTCCAATCATAACTTAATTTTTAAAATTAATTTGTCTAAAATTATGACAGAACAATTTTACACATTATTAATATTATAGAACTCTTATGTGTAGCATTTTATTATATATAACAAACGTTCTAAATTATTTTTTGTCAAATTTATATAATCTATTATTTGGTAGCAAACGGTTAAATTTAATAGATTATATTCTATTGAATAGTAAAAAACTTGATAAAGGCGAGTTTATCGCACATGAGGGCAACGATTATCAACCTGAGGTGAGAAATTTCGTGAAGTAAAAATAAAAAAACTAAAACAAAACCTTATCGAATAAATAATTCCGTGTCTATGTTACGCAATTCGGTGATATATCGGCGTGAAAAAAATGACAGCTGTTATTATTATTCGAAGCCCTACGCATGCATAGGAGTGTAAAAATGTTATAATTTTAGGGCAAATTCGAATTAAAAACCGGCAAGTGCGAAACAGCTGCCCGTAAAACAAATAAACGCGATGGAGGCGTCAAATGTTTTTCCAATAAAACTAATAGTGGTCATCGTGACTAAATGCGCGAAATTTGGGGTCACAATTGGTCGTAATGGGCACATAAGGGCGTTTATTACTTTTTGCTTAATTATTATAGTACTTACCGGTATAGCATACGCTGACCAACGTGTGGGCATGTCTCCTGATGAGGCTGCTTTCCTGGCTCCAGGAAGACCTTTCGATTATGTGGTCTACATAGTCGAAAGCTGTTATAGAGGCTACGTTCCAGTGAATTTTAGATAGGACTAGTTGTTCCCAACTCTGCAAAGAAAAAATCCTTTTTTATAAAGTTATAAAGACTTTGTAATAACATAATGTAATTAACATATCCGCACCGTTAGGGAAAAACTATGGTCGATTTTTACCCAAATCAGATGAGTACACTGGGCAACCGATATTGATATGCATTCAAACAAATGGCATAGGAAAAATAACATCAGATATATTATTGCAACCCAAATATAGATTATAATGGAAAACCCTAAATCAACTAATGCATGTCTTACATCGTGTAAAAGTAGTCAAGTCAAAATGTTAATAGCAAAAGAATTAAACAAATTGTTAAAAAAAAATTATCAAAAACTTGATTTACACTAAAGATAAGACTTCAAAGTGCTGCCCTGAAAAGTGATTTTCGACGTATCGAGTTTTTCAAAATTATTTTTTAGTAGTTTTGGAATGGCCTTAAGGTGCCGACAATATAAACATTTGCCTTATCATTACAGTTCTAAAAAGTGACTGTATAAAGCGTATTATTAAAAAGTAACTTTTGGACCCTCTAAAATTCTAACGAACATTTTAATGAATGTTGTTTATTTTATCCAAGATCGAAATCGTAGACAATACTGTTTGTTGCATAAGTAAAAGTCGGGGGACCTTTATTCGGGACACCTATTGTTAAATGAAGGGAAAAATTCGCATATTTTTAAGAGGGTCAATGAATTTAGCCACATCATCGTCTAGACTAAAAAGAAGGAAAGAAATTCCCATAGATAGGGACTCTACTACATATTTATGCCCTCTTTATTATGCATTTTAATTATTTTAATTGTCCTTTTATTTTGCGGTCGTTGCATCATCTGCTCTCATGTTTTAATATGCATTCCCAAAAAACAATAACTACCAAAACTAAAAATAGTGTCTCTGGTCGCGGTAATCTTTTGATGTCCGCGGAATGTCTAGACCCGAAGTAGGTCATGGGTTTCGTTGTTTTTGCCATTTTCAAGACCACGCAACAATAATGATATAGTTTCCATTTTAAACTTGGTCATTATTATTAAAATGTAATCGCCCTAATATTATATTTTATCGGTATCGCTTCCGATAATCGAAGGGCCTTTGTGTCTTGCAAAAAGTTTAATAAGTATTATTATTATTCTTGCGAGGATATAGGTAAAACAGGGGTGCAAATTTCTTCGTTTCTCACGATTTTTACGTCTGGATTTTTTCTGCAACCAGTCAGGGGTAAAAACCGTAACCGTACAATGGAAGCAAGAACAATAAGGGGTGTTGAATTAAGGGAGAATTTAAGAAACTGTTACAAGGTAAATCGAATTTAATAAATAATTTTAAAGGAATTGTAGAAGACGGTTATATTCAATGAACAAAAGACAAAGAATATATAGAATAGATTATCAATAAAAAAGGATCCTATTAAATCCTTTTTCCAGTTCCGGTATCCTAGAATTACAATAATGATTATGTAAATGGTTAAGGAGCAAAAAAGAGATAGTTCTTTATGCGTTGTTCCGGTTTTTTAACGCCTTGTTTGCACCTAGTCTAATCCTTAAGGACAATTGGGGAAAAGGGCCCATACCAGAATATGGGATAACAATAGGCGAAACGTAACGATAACTTGTGGGAATTTATTTTTACCTAACTCAGTTAGGCTAACTGTCACCTGCATTTTAAAGAAAATACTGTGGGAATGCTATTCAATGCAAAAATTGATTGAATAATAGCGAAAATGCATTGCCATGGCGATTTAAAATTAGGCAAAGTTCGTGTACCTATTTTTTAAATTTTATAGGTTGTCTTTATTTTTTTAAACCGCCAAGTACGAAAAATATGTTAAAAAAGTTCATTATTTTAAAGCTTGTCAATATACTTAAGTAAAATTAACCAATGAAATCAAAAAAAAAAAATTAAAAAAATTACGAACTCATAATCAGATAAAATGTACATACATCCTGTTAAATATTGACTTGATCCATTTCGTACTTCCCAAGATTAAAAATTTTGATTAAAACTATAATGAAAGGATGTAAATGTCTTAGAACAGTGAAAAAAGTGGTAAGTGGAAAGTGACAATATATATATGGTATACCATATCCGGGCACTGTAAAAATTATCTAAGAATCTTTTGGCCTCAGGTCGAATCATTATTTTCTTTGATTAGCTTTTTCCTTAAAAAATAAGCATATAGCCTTACCGCAAATTAGAGTCGTTAGGGTGGTCAACCACCCTGTTTCCGTTGTCTTCAAATATTATGACATCTTATAAAGTAAATTATTTCTTACCATGATATGTTCGTAGGTCACGCTGTAATCGGTGTAGGCACAAAGGAGATCAATCGGCAGAAGATTTGTGCTTCTCATTTTTGATGCAATTAAAAGACATGTCGCTCCAAGTAGTTGAAATTGCTGCCTCTTAATATTGCATTCGCATAAAAATCTGTCCAGTAAATTTATCGCCAACGGCAATACTTGATCTTCGCACATTTGCTCTTCGCAAACCTAAATAAATAAAAGAGTTTTTATAATAAATCATAAAAACATGGGTAAAAAACAATGAACTGTCAGTTGATTATAAATAAATGAATGTTTATAGATACTGACCTCAACCATCCAAGTGGTGACAACCTTTCTCATGAAGGGCTGAATGTCTGTTTGCACTTGTTCGAAGTAATCACACTTTGGCACATAGAGCACTTCGTCTCGTAACATGTTGGCTACTACGCGGGGATCCCCGAAGATGACCTTATCGTTGGTGGCTGTGATAACTCGATGAGATTCTTTGCAAGACAAATCCATTGTTTCTTACAATTGTAAACAAACTACTGTACTATAACAACACGTTGCCGTAGCGATGGTATACGATCTTATACTTGCGAACCGTAAACTATACAGGCTATGACGACTGACTGAAGAAAAACAGCGTTGCGCGTTTGTTTTATTGCAGCGCGCGCGTGCGCAATGGCAACGCAGGCCACCTGGTTAAAAATATTGTTTTGTGAGGGATCTTAAAGTTGAAATTTTACTTGCGCTACCTGTTCAGACATCTGCTACTTTATTTTCTTTATTGGAGCAATCAGAGTCCAGAAGATATGGTTTTGGTACCCACCCAAATGACAACAATGCTGCTGCGCGTCTTAAAAAGATATTTGTAAAAAATGGCTTTTCTATTAAGGATTTGATTTATAATAGCTAAGCAATATTATTAAATCCAAAACATTTGTTATAGGAAGGTATATGGTTAATATATTTATTAAAATAATGTGATAACAATATTTAAGATTGTATGGGAATTCGTAATATTGATTGCGTTGGGGGAACCCTTTTTCACACAATTTTGTCGCACATGCTCTTATCATCTTCCTAATCTAATTTTAATTTACCTTTAAATGGCGGTTTTCAAACCACAACCTATAATTATTTTTTGTGCAATATGGAAAAATTGTCACCGGAGTCTGGCTTAAAACCTATATCTCACTCAGGGCCGCATTTACATGTTTTAAGGTCCTAAGGAAATGTCAGAGGGGTCCTTATTTTGATAATAATTTAACTAGTAGTGCACGGATCCGATTTTTTTACGGATCGGGGATCCTTGAAAAAAAAACCGGATCCGGATGTATCCGTATCCGGATTTAAATATAGGAACCGGATTCGGATCTTAGATCTGGATCCGATATCCGGATCTAAGATCCGAGATCGGGATATCGGATCTTAGATCCGGATATCGGATCTTAGATCCGGATCTAAGATCTTATTAAATACTTTAACATTATTGTATTATAAACAAAACAAATATTCTACAGTACAGTACCTAGGTATATTTAATATTCTTAAAAAGAGATCAAATAGCAAATAATAGTCAAAAATAAGAATCTTTGGTATCAAAAATAATAATTAATTTGTAAATTATTAACTTTATTTCGCAATGAAGAATTTTCTTATTATGACATCTTAAGTTTGTCGTGGTGAACAATCGACGTAGTTTTTGTTAAAAGAGAAGCGGTCAAATATTTTTGTATGAAGAAAATAGACTCAGAATTAACTAATAAATGATATTATATATATTATAAATTATACCTATTATTATTATTATTAATTATAAGCATATTGTTGTGAAAAAACTCTTTTAAGCAGTTGTGTATTTGGATTTCGGATCTTTGCTCCGGATCTGAGCCGGATTGAAAAAGATCCGGATCTGATGTTTAGCACTACAAAGATCCAGTATTCGGATCTCGGATCCATATTTCGGATCATTGCTCCGAATCTAAAATCGGAGTATTATATCCGGATAGATCCGGAACCGGATTATGCACGTTGAAAAATCCGGATTGAAAAAGGATCCGGATCTAATGTTCAGCACTAAATTTAACCTAACTAACCCAGCCACATGACTCATGTTATAAGGCGCCGCAGAGCGCAGTTTGTGTCAAAATATTTTTTAATTTAATTTAATAATTATTAAAAGTGCAAAATACACTTATTTTGCTTTATAAATATTTAATTACATACATTATGTACAAAATTATTTATTTAATAAATTATTTTTTTAATCAAATTATTTCTTTATCAAATTATTTTGTATGCAAACCAAAAATTATTGACGACTAAAATATTATTTCATAAAAGAGGAAGGGCGCATTTTATCAAAAGAAGTTTATAATAATAATAATGTTTATCCCTGGTAGCACAACGTGACGAAACCGTGACGATTTGTGTCCATTGTGTCCAATTGGACACAACTCGTCAAGGTTTCGTCACGTTGTGCTACCTGGGATAAAGCTACCTGGGATAAAGCTAATTAATTAACCTTCTTTTTTCTGGCATGGTTGTTCGCATGAAAGGTTGACGAAGAAGCTGCAATAGGTATATATACCTATAGGCTATTGCAGCTTCTATGTCACATAGCTTTTATCTCTATAGTACAGAAGCAAGCGTCCAGATAACTTAGTATACCTACTTCGTTTAATTTCAAAATGCCTAATGCCTAGAGTCTAGTATTGCAATGATTAGGTAAGTATTGAAAATGTTTTGATTATTAACTCTTAAACCGTATCTAATTGCTATTTAAATTTATTATGTAAAATAATCTTATATTCCTTTCTTCTTAGAAAATTGCCATGTTATCTAAATTGGGGGCCCCCTTCGAGTCGGGGCCCTAATCAGCTGCTTATAGGTAAATCCGACCCTGATCTCACAAAAAATAATTCAACACAGATAACTTTTTAAAATCTAATTTACAAATTTTGGATTACAAATTATAATTTTTATAGGTACCTACGTATATATACGTAGGTACCTATGGGTACCTATTTTGAAATTTATTTTTAAACCATTTTTTTAAATTTTATTATATGCTTTTTTTAATGGAACATATATTTTTTGATATTGTCTGTACGTTAATTATAATTAACGTAGAGAGGAAAAATCGGTAATGTGGTGTACGAGGTGTGTTCAGAAAATAACGGGAATTGTTAAATTTCGCGGCTTCGGGGGGTCCGGTTGTCATAAAATTTTATTTATTATGTTGGTATACATGCCCCCGAAGTATGATAAAAACTTTAGCTGTTTTCATTGTTTACTTTGTCTGTGGCAGCCGCTAAGGTTAGACGTGTTTTATGAGCTCGGCGATTTTCGTTCGTTAAAAGAAATGGTCTTTGATCCATTTGTATCTAATTTTGCTAAAAAATGAAATAAATTCTGTGAAATGTTAACAAAGGCCAATAGTGAGTCTGCTATAAGTAAAACAAGAGTTTACAAGTGGTATATACCACTTATATAAGAGTTTCCAAGATGGCCGTGAAGACGTTGAAGATGACGAACGCCCCGAACGCACAACTTGTGCGTTAAAAACATGGAAAAAGTGGAAGAAATGGTTATAAACCATCAGAGAAGTCGCTGATGATGTTGGTACATCGATTGGCTCATCCCATGAAATTTTTTCAAATGTTTAGGGTATGAAACGCGTGGCAGCAAAATTTGTTCCAAAATTGTTAAATTTTGAACAAAATTTTTGACCAAAAACAATACGGTAATGGTGCCCCAGCCTCCATATTCGCCAGACATGCCTCTGTCTGACTTTTTCCTATTCCCAAAAATAAAGAGAACCTTAAAGGGCCGTCGTTTTGCAAGCATAGATGAAGCGCATCGCTGAAAGAACTATAGTTCTTTATAGCCTTTATAAAGGCTATCTCAAAGATCAAGTTTTAAAAGTGTTTCGAGTATTGGAAGAAGAGCTGGCACATGTGCATAATATGCAATCGTGACTATTTTGAAGGCGACAACATTAATGTAGACGAATAAATAAATATTTGTTTCAAAAAACGAAAATTCCCGATATTTTCTGAAGACACCTCGTATACGAGGTGTGTTCAGAAAATGTATACATTTGGAATGCATTAAAACAAAAACAATGTTTAAAAAAGTCTCAATTTTATCAATCTGTAAGAATTTTCGGAAAAAATTGATAGTCATTTTTCTGCATGAACCATTTCAGGCTTATCAGAAAAGCTTAACCACATTTTTGCAGGATCCTAATCCCTGCGGATTAGGGTAAAACTGAATTTTTTGGTTGGTTTAGAAGAAAATTTTGGGAACAAAAAATATGGGGGTCATTTTCCCCTACAATTTATGTAATACTCAAGTACGAGCAATTTTGTTTAATTTAGAAAGTAGTTTATCTTGTTTATCCATAATTAAACGTAATATTAGAAAAATGCAACTACACTGAAAAAAAAAATCTTGTAAATTTCCGGTAATGGAGATTGGTTATTTTGATGCCTTGTTGATAACTGAAATATTCCATTTCATTATTATTTTACATGTAAAATGTAATAGCATAATTGACGTGTAACTCATTTATATTTTTTATGTAAAATAACATTTTTAATGTAATATGTTTTTTATTTGAAATGTATTTATACATGATAACATTAACATGCCGATGCGTGGGCAGCATGCGCGAATTCCCAGCCAATAGGCTTCTCCGTTTACATATGAAATGTAATTTTGCGATTTTTACTACACTCCGAATGTAAAAAAACATTTAAACCTGTAATATTAAGACTAATAAAGTATATTTACATTTGAAATAATGCAGTAAGACGTTATAATTGTATTTTTTACATTTAGTTCGTTAAATTTACTTGTTGTATCAATAATTAATACATAACATTAGTAATTTTACAAACAAAAATGTTTATTTACTTGAAATACATAAAAATTAGACGAAAATAAAGGTAATTTTACAATTTGTCGTAAAAATTAGGAATTTATATGGTAATAATCCTGTAACTTTACATTTAAATGTACCTAATAATTTTTTTCTTTTTTTTTATATACAGGGTGTCCCAGAACTCGCACCACAGAGAAAAAGGGGGCGTGCCGATAGCAATGGAGATGCCAAATTTAAAAATAAAAAATTTCTAGGTAATAGTGTAATCGAATGAGAGCAAAAAAGCGGCAGCCAATACCGAGAGCTCTCGCCTGGGTTAAACGTAAGAGCTTAAAAAATTGCTAGGAGACGATAGAACATTGTTGTATTAAAAACATTTAAAAATCTTTTGGCCAACTGTATTTACTAAGTTGTCAAAAGCTTTCAAAAATGAGGTTATTAATCTATGACTTATAAGTATATATACTTCAGAACGCCAATGTTTTAAAATAACGATTAGGAAAGGGCTGGGAAAAAACTCGCGTTGTCTCCCTGGCGTTGCGCCCACACTAAATAAATAAATAATTATCATTTCAGTATAATCATCTAAGGAAAACATTATTTATAATAACTTAATTTATAACCTAATATAATATTAATGACAGGAGTTTGACAGCAGTGTCACAATGAATTGGATTCCAGTGGACCATATATTTTACATATTTTTTATTATCAACAATGCAACCTATGTATC